CATTCACCAGTTTTGAACGGTGGGGCATAAGGGCTGCTAGCAGAGCTGTACTTTGCTGATTCAATTTCTGAGCTGAGCAAAAAGAACCCTCAGTGATTGGCAATGAATACATACACGTGCACCTCTTCCCTTTGCAAATGGTAGCACAGGAAACACGCTATTCGCTCCACTTTTCTTTTCTTTTTTCAAGTCAACAACCTGTTTGGGAGATTATTCCTCACCTATCTATCCAGACCTGACCTGCTCTTGAACAGTAATTGAGCTGCTTATAATGGTTAATTCTTTCTTTCAACTTGACTTGGACTGAGGGATGCTTAGAAAATGGGCAAAGCCTATTTCTAGGTGTGTCTGAAGGGGCATTTCCAACAAAGTTTGATGTCCCTGACCAGAGCTTACAAACCCTGTTGTGGCTGTGGGTGACACTGACCAACAGGTTGGGGACCCAGACGGAACAAACAGCAGAGGAAGGGGATTTTCCCCGCCCATACTCAATCCTTGGGGAGCAAGTGCATTTTTTTTTTCTGCTGCTATTGCCCTTGGACATTGGACCCCAGATCCTTCAGTATTTGAAAGTAGATTTTCTCTAGCGACTTGCCAGAAGGCCTTCATACCTTCAGCCTTGGACTTGGGCTGTATCATCTGTTCCTCTTGTTCTGAGGCTTTCAGTTCCTTGGGTTTGCTGGTGCAAATCTATTTTCAGCATCTCATTGTTTATAACCTGAATTTATTGAATCAGTCCACAGTTAGTGGATACTTAGGGTTAACTATCCCCACCCCACCCTATACTTTGTTAGTACAGTGATTCCCTGCTATTCTGATAGAATACTCATCTACCTATATATAGAGATTCCTAAGGAAAATATTTGTACCTTCTTTAATTCAATTGTTTGTGCATTTAAAACTGTAGTTGAAATTGCCAAATTGCTCCCCTCAAAGGTTATAAGAAGTTACATTTTCTCCAATCATATTTAAGGATCCACGTATTCCCACATACTTGCCAAAACATTACCATATCAAAGTTTAAAAACTTATTAATTTTTATTCAAATTACAGATTTTATTATTGTGGAAGAACAAAGGAAATAAATCCTTGGTAATTACTTCTATCCTGATAGCTTTTGTTTGAGAAACTGCCAGTCACTGCATCAATCATTCATTGCCTCAATCATTTTTATTAGAAAAATTATATTGTATGGGTTTAGGAAGGATAGTGTGAGGTAGGAAGGATAGTGTGAGGTAAGAAGGATAGATGAAGAAAAATAAACTTTAGGTGATTCCATTTTTACGGAATGTGTAAGCTTTTCCAAAAAAAAAACACCTAGAAGTAGACATCTGATGTATTAATAAAAAGCTAGGGCTGGGGATTTAGCTCAGTGGCACAGCGCCTGCCTGGCAAGCCAAGTTTGTGAGTTTAATCCCTGGTACCGGAAAAAAACAAAAACAAACAAAAACCCTTCCTTCTAGCAAGAAAGGGTGTTTAAATAAAAAAAAATAATAAAAAGCTAGATCCATCCTAAAGGTAAACCACAGTCAGTCCAGCAATTAAACACTACCTGAAATTTGGCAAGGTGCGACGCTCTAGATATGGCTGAAGAAAAACTTAGGTCAAAAGAGGAAGCCAAAACACAAAAGGGTACTCTTATCAAGGTATCGTTTATTGTGTTAAACATCCATTTTGGACAATTTGTGAGAGACTCAGATGAACATTTAACATCTTGACAAAAGCTCAGACATTAGTGAAATAGCTATTTTACAGGTTTTTTCTTATTCATGTAAAATGGATCTAGCTCAACTCATTGAATAACTAATTGATATAATAATTGATGGTTCATCAGACTTAACTATATTCCTAGGCATTTGCTTTTAGTTGACTAGTTTTCATTTGTCATTGTAACTGCATCTTAAAGATTGTCATTTTTGTCTCTGACTTAGTTCCAGATCGTTAGAGCTGGAGCCTGAGAGGAGCCCTCTTATAAAGGAAGCAACTTCCATGTATAATGTTTTATTCAAAGACAGTCCCAGTGCTTAACCAGTACAGACATCTTCAACAAGATTCTGAGATTTCTTTCAATCCTGAGATTTCTTCAGCATCTCCTGCATTCATTGATAACACTAACTCAAAATATTTGCCACTGGGTTTTGTTTTCTCTTTCCTTTTTTTTTTTTTTTTTTTTTTTTTGGTACCAGGAATTGAACTTAGGACTTTGTGCTTAACAGTTGCCAGGCAAGTGCCGGGCTGCTGAGCCATATCCCTGGTCCTGGGTTTTCTTATTTTGGGGAATTAAATAGTAAGTTTTGTTAAAAAGGAAATAGCGTGTTGAGTATATGTGCTTTCAACAAGTGTAAAGTGGGTAACTAATAACTTTGAAAACTTAGCCATATTTTATGAATTCAGGGTTGATCATTATTTTCATATATTGAAGAATTATCCCACCACTACAGAGGATCAAATTCTGGATGAAGCAAATTTAATTACTCAGCTTAGTAACAAATGTTGTTCACAAAGATGGCTTAGTTAACAAATACTTTTCAAGTTTCAATGCAAAATATTCTTAAACAACAACTGCAAAGGAAAACTGGATATTTTTATTATTTGTGATATCCCCACAATAAAAATGACTGAAAATGGATAACGAGACTCACTTGATCATTGAGATCATTGATTTGAGACAGTATATTAAATCTAATAAAAACTTTGCCATGAAAAAGAATTCATTTTTTAACCAAAGATATACTTGGATGAGATAGGCTTCTATGTTAAGATTTTCTCTGGGGGGTGTACTTACGGATGTCTTTGTTTAGATTCTAGACTTATTGACCCTGTTTGGAAATTAGGAATGTGATCTAAAAGGTGACCTACACCAGTGCATCTTTTCTCTACTTCTCTCTTTTACATGGTAAGGGCCTAGGCCTTTCAGCCAATAGATAAACAACCATTTCTCAAGGATTCACTAACTTTCCTGCATATCTTTCACATTTCCTATGTTTTCTTGCAGTCAAGTTCAAGTTTAACAGGGACCTCCTGTCTTGACTATATGCTCCAATTAAGTGTACTTGAGTTCTCTCCTTAGGGGTTCTCTGTAGCTCAAACCCTATAGCAGTAAAGCTGTTCCATGTCTCCCATAGGGAAGTAATGGGGAGAGATAGGAAGGTGGGCAGCACAACTTGGGTATTTATTGGCCCCTGGCCACAATCTCTCACAGTACTTTTCAAAATTCCCAGTGCATCACCGTGCCTGGTGGCACACACCTCTAACCCCAGCACTTGTGAGGCTGAGACAGGAGGATTGCCACGAGTTCAAGGTCAGCCTTAGCTACATAGTGAGTTCAAGGCCAGCCTGAACTATGTAGCAAGATACTGTCTAAAAAAAAAATCCTGGTGCATGAGTATTTCCAAATGTTTAAGAGACTGACTCAAAGATCAGAGAGAACTTCAGGCTTGCTAAATGAGAGTGGGGACTTAGCTTCTTGGTGAGAAATTACTCTTTTACAAATGCTTAATGATGATCATATGACAATGGTGCCATTCTGCCTCTCCCCCATGTGTGGTCATCTCTCCTGTTATTAGCCTATAGTAGCTATCAAAACAATGCAAAACTACTTCCTTTTATGGGAACTTGGAGGAGACTGTCATGGAGCTGAAACCTTGACATCTTTGGGGACCCTTTCCAGCTGGTACCAGCACCTCTGAGAGGTCTGATTAGACTAGGAAGAGGGAACAAAGCTGGAAATTGGAACCAACTGTCACTGTCATAGGATCATTGCTGGATGACAGAAGAGAAATAGCAAGTAAAACAAGGAGCAAATCCCTCTCCCTCCTTTTCCCTTGAAGCCTCCCTGAGATATCACCTATGGCAATGCTTACTGGCAAGCCAGCTGTCAGCAGAAATGTGGCTTTCAGAGTCTTAGTACCACCCCTCAGAAGCACGGTATACAGAGAGGTCAACTTGAACTTGAGGAACAATAGCTTAGTAGCCTCTACAGTCCACCCCTTTGGTTATTTAGCATCCACACATACTCTCTTATACAGAGGTGTACTTGTATACAAGAGCAAAGAACAACATACTGTTGCATAGGAAGATGACATGGTTTGGGGCACAAATTATGATTCTTTCTTTCTCTTCCTGAAATGAGAGATACAAGGTTCAAGGATCCCTTGTATTTTTTCCTCCATAATGCTGGTTATTTTTCTAGGTGGGGGTAGGGATGGTTAGGTGAGAATGGTCCTGCTGGTTTTCACTAGCAGGGGACATTTAGGAAGCCTTTACTTGGACAAGAGTGTAACTCTTGCTTTCTGGGAAAGGAAACTGAAGTAATATTTAATCATGGACAAGAAATACCTGCTTTGATAAAATCTGTCCAAGAAAGGAGAAAACCTATAGTTACTGCTGTGTGGGGGAGAAAATTCGTGGGGCTGTCTGGAAGTTCTATAGTTATGAATGACAGAACATGTCATTAGAGACCAAGCTGTCTTCTGCTAAATTAGCTGGGGTTTGGCTGCAAAATAAAGCAGGCTCAAGAATGCAGCTGTTTGCCTCAGCTTAGAGATTAGGACCTGTGCAGTCACCATGGAGAGAGGGTCTGAGCATGTGTCCAGCGATGCCATGCCACACTTGATGCTTATGCAGTGTGGGGCATAGGACGGTTTCCTGCGGCATCTTGCCTCTCCCACAGTTAGAGCTACTCCCCCTGTAGAAAGGAAAAGCCACATGGAGCTGCCCAGGAAAGAACGGGACCTCAGAGCATGGTGAGAATGGTTATTAAAGCTTAAGTATTAGTGTGATTTGAGTGTGTCTCTCCTATCCCCAATTCATAATCCCTAAATTCAAAGGCTGGTGGCTTTTGGAGGTAGATACATTAATGTACCTACCCCATGCTCCAGAGCCTAACCTAGCTTTGCTACTGAATCACCTCATTAGAAATAGATAAACACCTACTATTTAATGGTATGTATATTCCTATCCACTCTAGGAATTTCTACTTAAGATAATATGTATTTTAGCCTGTTTTCTGTTGCTCTAAACTGGAGACAGCTTTGCCATTCTACAAACCTGGCTTTGGTAGGGCAAAACAGGGCCACACAACAGTGAGGCAATTGGCTCTAGCAAAGCAGCTCCTGGCATTCGAGAGGCTTGAGAAGGGTCTTTTGAATGAGTAAATGAGTGACTGTGACTTAGAGGAACAGCCTACCACTAACTTGCAAAGCAGAGACCTCCACTTGCTGGCAATCTGACCAAACTTCAGGCTTCACTTCTCAGACCTTTACTCTTCTACACAAGGTTCAGCCCTCTGTGCGTTATACTCTGTTAAGCACGGGAGCCCAAAGTTCTTTTATAACTAGCCTGAGCCTGCGATTCCCAGCCTCTCCCTGTCCCTTTCCCCTCTGAGACACGGGCTGTGTGAGCAGCCATGGAGCCCAGCAGCAGCCATCCTGATGACTTTCCTCTCAATGTGTTCTCACTTACTCCTTACACGCCCAGTACCGCTGACATCCAGGTGTCTGATGACGACAAGGCAGGAGCCACCTTGCTCTTCTCAGGCATCTTTCTGGGACTGGTGGGAATCACGTTCACGGTCATGGGCTGGATCAAATACCAAGGTGTCTCCCACTTTGAGTGGACCCAGCTCCTTGGGCCCATCCTGCTGTCAGTCGGGGTGACGTTCATCCTGATTGCTGTGTGCAAGTTCAAAATGCTCTCCTGCCAGCTGTGCAAAGAAAGTGAGGAAAGGGTTCCGGACTTGGAGCAGACATCAGGAGGACAATCGTTCGTTTTCACTGGTATCAACCAACCCATCACCTTCCACGGAGCCACCGTGGTACAGTACATCCCTCCTCCTTATGGGTCTCAAGAGCCGATAGGGATGAACACCGCCTACCTGCAGTCCATGGTGAACCCCTGTGGTCTGCTACCCTTCCGAGGGGCAGCAGGTGCCATGCCAAGTCCTCCTCAGTACTGCACCATCTGCCCCCAAGATAACGCTGCATTTGTGGAGGGCGAGGACTCCTCTTCCGTCACGGATGGTGGGAATAGCAGGTATGGTGTGTGTGTACTGCAGCCTCTCCCCTCTCTGCCGTCCCAGCCGTGGTCTGTGCCTGTGTTTGATGTCTGGGGCAGGTGGTAGTGAGTGCAGATCACAGTGCAGCCTGCTGCCCAGGATGGGGACACTGACTCTGGCAATGGTGCCTGGGTGTAATGCACCTGGGTTTTCTGCTCATGTTTCAGGTCCGGCCCTGGTGCTGACCGGCTAGGAGAGACGCAGTTGGAAGAGGAGGATCGTGCCTGCTTCTTCTCTCCTCCTCCTTATGAGGAAATCTATGGCCTCCCTCGCTAGAGTCTCTATTGCTAAGGGAATGAGCACTGAAGTTGTTGTGACCTGACAACTGGAATGTCCTGTACTATTATCTTCAGAAGTCAAAGCAGAGCAGCCCAGGCAGCCTCACAGATATCACCCAAGGTGGGAAAGGGAAAGGAAGCCAAGAGTACAATGTCTCAGATGGGTAAAGATTAGAACGGGTAGGAAAAGTTCCTTCAGATACAGTGGCAAATTCTCTCAGGTAAGAAATCCTCTGCTTAAGATGCAAGAGCAAGAATTTTCCCTTTCCCTCAACACCCACCTTCTCCCTGTGGGAAGGCATTGGTGTCTCAGTTTTAACTCCAGCAGCCAAGGGAAAATCCTGACTTCTGAGACCCAGGAGCTTCCAGGTGAAAGAAGGGGTGGGAAGGAAGCAGGGACGAGAAAGCAGGCTCAACCAGGGATTGCCCAGTGCCCATCCTGGGCCCCAAAGTGAGCTTGTGTATCCCAAACAGCTTGATCGCCAAGGGGTCTTCTGTGAGGGCTCGTGATATCTTAATGGCTGCAAAATAAGTGAATAAATAAAGTGGAATAAGATAAAGTAATGTCTCCTGCTGGAATAGTATCAGATAGCTGACTCAACCATATGGAAGAAGTAAATGTACAATAATGATGCAAATAAATCTAATATGTTCTGGGTAAATATTCTGGATCCATGAATAAAATCACTGATGTTTTCTTCTGCAAGTCTGAAGCTTCATGTGTGGTGCATATGAATGGGATCTTGGTCTACCCCAGTCTAGGGCCTATGCTGAGCATGAACTTAGCCCAGTGACACACAGACGCCTGGAGACCTGAGAAGTTAAAGTAGAGCTTCTGGGTCAACACTGGAAAGTCGTGCACTATGGAAACAATCTTTATGGCTAAAATGAGCTCATCCTCTTCATAAAAAGACCAATGTCCTTAGTCTCCTTGAATCTGAACTGTATCATAAACAGCCATAATAGACGTACTGACTTTAGAAGAGATAGTTTAAAACAGTGTGGTTTCAAAATAAAACATTTTCCTTAGACTACCAAGATGAGGTCACTCCATGAAGGGTGTCTCACCCCAAAGAAAGATACAAGATGTAGAAATTCTTTAAAGTTTTGATACTGAGTTTGTATATGGAGTGATTTTTGCTTTCTGACAGAATTATGTAGTTGGTCAAGAATATGGGTAGCTTAGGCTTAGTATATTATTGTTTTGATTTATTTTATACATTAGGGACAAACCTTTTTAGATTCTGTTTCAAGTTTGATGACAGATGGTGAGACAACATGATTCCATTTATAGATTCAGTTTATTAGCTGTACGCTCCACATGTGCTTGAGACATTGGGTGCCTAGCTGAGGGCTCTTGGAAGTTAGGTGACAAGGACTTGATTGGGCATCACTAGTGGCATTCCAACACATAAATAAATGACTTGGGTCCCCCAGGCCTGTCTCACTTACCATTTTCCTCCATCCTCACCTACCCCATGATTTTTATATATAGTGTGATTTCGAAAATATGGTCAGTGTTTAAATTTGTAAAAATGTATTACAGTAAATGACATATTGGGATTAATCCCCCTCAAAATCTTTCCCCACACTTCAAGCACAGTTATCCCATCTTTCTTGCCACCTTCTTTTTTTTTATTTTTTTTTTATTTTAAAGAGTAAAAGAAGGATAACATAATAATAGGGGGAGCTTACCAAATTACAGACAAAGTGGTAGGAAATTATCAATGGTTATTGTTTTATATATTGTTGTCTACAAGATAGTTTATCAGGAAAATAAATAGACAAATAATAGTGAGTTACAGACAAAAGAGGTAGGAGATTACCAATAGTTGTTGTACTATACTTAGGTATCTTCAAAGTGGCTTCTAAAGAATATAAATAGAACTATACATGAGTGACCTACTGAATAATCATTCAATAATTCTCAATGGTTGTTGTAGGAAACACATAATAATAAACATGGATCCATTTATGAAATAGGATAGGAACAATACAAACATTACAGAGTTATGGCCAGATTAGTAGGAAAATATCAATGACTGCTGTAATACATGGTGATATCTTCAAAGTGGTTTTTCAGGAAGACAGAGATACACAAGAAGGATCTAACAAGTAGTTACAGCCTAAGGGTTGTCAAAAATCAAGTGAGCCGCCTGGGCAGAAAGCCATTTTTTGTAGTGTTTTCTCTCCAGCCTCCCATCGCATTGGGACCCCACAACCAGTTAGTGTCCTCTCCCCAGCTGTCAGCACAGGCAGAAGGAATCCTCCTGCAGACTTCTCTGGAGCTCCAACACAGCCTGTACTGTCAGGGGAAGAATGGCTTCTAGGGAGTCTCCGCAGGTATTGTGCAAGGTCCTCCTGGTTTACAGCTTCCGAGCAGCTCTCATGACCCCAGTCCACAGGACCTCTGACTCCTCAGGCTTAGTCTGCATTCTCATGTTCTCCAAGGCCTTGTTCAGCAGCTGCTCCTCCACTGACTCTGAACCTTTCTGGCAGGAGCAAGAGTGGCCCATTGTATGGCATGTATTCCCAGGGATTTTTCAGTGTTTGAATGATTCACACACGTCTGTGGGTGGGCATCTGCAGCTGGTGCATGGTGGGCCAATTGTGTCATTGTTTCTCTGTGTCATGATAGTTCTCAATTGAGCGGCTGCGGCTGGCCTAAGGGCCGGCGTGCAACAGCGCTCGCTGCCGAATGGCTCCCTGTGCGCCAGGGGCCCTCCCTCTGGGGGCCAACAAGGCAGGAAGCTAGCCAGCCGGAAGACCGGCACTCCCCGCCTGTGGCTCCCCCTGCGCTGGGGGCCCCCTCTTGCCACCTTCTGAAGTAGTTCTGGAAGTTTTCTTTCATGTCCTCAGTTGCACAGTTGTGGCTGCCTTGATGTCCGAAGTCAATTTAAAACCTCGACCTTTGACAGTCATTTTGACTTTGGGGAAGAGCAAAAAGTCACACGGTGCCAAATCTGGTGAATAAAGTGGATGACACATCGCAATGTTTGGATTTGGCAGAAATTGCCATAAATAAAAGACCAATGAGGTTTGATCATAAAATATGGTGAATGTTTAAGTTAAAGCATTTATTAAAGCATTTATCACACATTACCATTGAATGCCCTCCAAGTACCCCAAATACTCCCTCTCACTTTGAACACAACCCATCATTCTTGGCAATGTGTCTTTTAGTGTTATAATTTTTTAATTTATTTTTTTTTCCAGTACCGGAATCAAACTCACAACCTCGCACTTACCAGGCAGGCTCTGTGCAGCTGAGCTAAATCCTCAGCCCCTGTTATAATTTTTTAAAATTTAAACATTCACTATATCTTTTGATCACCCCTTGTACTAATAGATTTGAGTCACAATAAACATCAAAAGAGGCTCAGAAGAGAAGAATGTGTTCATGAAGGGCGCTGTGCGTGGAAGCAGGGGACTGCAGGGCAGCCAGTTTGGCTTAGTGAAGCTGGGAGTGTGGGCTGGGCAGGAAAGTGGCCCTGGGGGTTTTGAGCTGCAGGCAGCAGAGGTGTGGGATCCACTGTTCCTGTCCCTGGTGCCACCGCAGAGCTCATTTATGCTCCTAACAATAGTGCTGGAATCTCCTTAGTCATCTCATGGTACAGGTGGGGCCTGCAACAGTCAGGATCAGCAAATGGGCTTTGTGCATTCATTTCACATCTACTTACTGTGCATCTAGTCTGTGTCAGGAATAGGGCCATGACAGATCAAACCAACAAAACAGCAGACATGGCTCTGCCCACAGAATTTCTACTCTAGGAAGGGGAGCAGAGACTTATTAATTATCTGGGTCGTCTATTAATTAGCCTCTCTCTGTCCACAAGTGGAACTCCAAGGGTCATAAAGCTTGCCTGAGGATGAGAAGTCAGGGCCGTTGCCTTGGTAACCCCAGGGAGTGCCATTTACAGGGACAGCCAAGTGGCTGGGGTCAGTTGGCCTAAAAATACCAACCTGGGACCTGAAGGACCTGTGGCTGCCTGCTCAGCAAGGAGGAGGGTGCAGCACTCACGGTAGGAGCAGTCTGGCCGTATGAAGCAAAGCAGCAATAGAAGGCACCTTGTGGGTTGTACAAGCTTTATTTCCCTGCTGCCATCACCCTCACACAGAACCCTTCCAGTACCCAAAAGTCACACCCACAGGCTTTCAACCCTGCCGTTGTATCTTTATTTTGGGGTTTCAGAGGCCGACATGGAAACCCACTGCAGGGCTCCACCAGGTCCTCTGGTGTCCTGAATAGAAGGATGATGTTCCCAACAGAACTTCAGGCTTGTCATCCAGATAGCTGCCTCCGACCCCTCCTCAGTGCTGTGTGGGGTACAGAGTATGAGACTGTGATAGGGGACAGTGAGCCGCAGCCAGTCTCTGGGTCCGCTGTCCAAGCTCAGCAGAGAGTGGCACTGGCCTGGAGCAGATTCCTGAGCCTGTGGGGCCCTGTAGACCTTGCCTGCCTTGTGAGACATTTTAGGCTTTGTCTGAAGAGCAGCTGGGAAGCCATAGATAGGCATGTTTGATGAGGAAGCAGCTACCATCAGATCCTGGATGTTTACTGGACAGAGCACCGCCCAGAAGGCATATGTGCACGGAACAGTGACCTTGCTGCGGGAATTCAGAGCTAGTGACCAGGACTCACTTTCCCTGTTCTCTTGGCCTCCAGTGTGGCTGTGTGGGTGAGCAATCTACAGATAATTCAGAATGAGGTTAAAAGGTCTGTTAATCAAAGGAAATGACTTTTTCTGTTTGTTTGTTTTTTGAGACAGGGTCTCTCTGTATAGTCCAGGCTGGCTTTGAAGTCACTGTGTACCCCAGGTTGGCCTCACAGTCCTGGCCATCCTCCTACCTCAGCCTTCTGAGTGCTGGGATCACAGGTGTGCCCCACTACACCTGGCCAGGAAATGACTTTTTAAAGAACTCAACATATCTGGAAACATCTTTCAGGAGCCAAATGGGGCAGAGCTTTTGGCTGGTAAGACTGATAACAAGTGATGATTTTGAAGGGGCAAGAAAGAGAGCATTCAGATTTGAGAAATGAAGCCCCAGTGCCCATGGGAAGACATTTGCACATGGTGCTTGGGGTATTTCTTTTCCCCTTTGGGTCATTGGAGGCGCTAATCTCTTCTGGAACCTGGACCTGGGCCTGGGCCTGCACTTCTTTCTCTTACCTTTTTATCCCACTGAGCTGGGATGGGTTTGAATTTCTACTCACCATGTGGTTCTGTTCCACAAAACCAGCCCTTTCAATACCCTCCTCTCTCTCTCCGCATAAAAACAAAGCCTCTTGTTAATGGACACTGACCTTGGGTGTCTGTTTTCAAGTTCAGGCCTCTGCGGCTCCCCTTGGTCTCATTTACTGTTAGATCAGTGGGGTGAGATTCTGCTGAAGTCAAATATTGCGGGTGGCTCTCTCCCAAGCAGAAGTCCTTTCCCATAACCAAGGGTGACACCTTCTTGCCAACACAGAGAAGAGGGGCTCCCCAACATGTCACAGAGGCTGGCGTGGTCCAGAGCTCAGTGGTGTCCCTGCCTGTCCCCTGGCCGCTGAGTGACTGTGCTCTCAATACTGAATCCTCAGAGGGAATTGTGCAGGGCCCTGTGTGCAACACAACTGAACTCCTTTCCTGCTGAACAAGAAATGTGAAATGCATGCATGAAGAACCTTCCAACAGACAATAAGTGACTAATCCCGCTTGTTAGCTG